CAAGGTTCCCACAACTTTGCTGCAAGGTTCCCAGAAGCTTCCCACAACTTTGTCCACTTTGCTTCCAGGTTCTTACCAGGTTCCCACAACTTTTTTGCAAGGTAAGGTTCCCACAACTTTGCCCCACAAGGCTCCCAAGGTGTCCACAACATCGTTCCACAACTTTGCCCCACAAGGTTCTTCCAAGGTTCCCACAGCTTTGCTCCAAGGTTCCCACAAGGTTCCCACAACGTGGCCCCGAGGTTCCCACAAGGTTGGCGCAAGTTTCCCACAAGGTTCCCGCAAGGTTCCTAATCGACAGTCAAGGAAGCGTCATCATACCTCAAGTCCATTTCATTGTGCTTGCTACTGCTACCTTTTACCTTGCTAACCTTTTGGTATCCTATCCTCTTAGTTTCCTCCTGTTCTTCATTCGGGCCCCGAATCCACTTTCGGGCCCCCGAATCCAGTTTCGGGGCCCGAATCCACAGTCAAGGACACCTCATGATATTTCAAGTCTATTTCATTGTGCTTCCTACTGTTACCTTTCGCCTTGCTTACCTTTTAGTATCCTATCCTCTTAGTTTCCTCCTGTTCTCCATTCGGGCCCCGAATCCGGTTTCGGGCCCCGAATCCGGTTTCGGAGCCCCAATCCACAGTCAAGGCAACCTCATCATACCTCAAGTCTATTCAATTGTGGTTCCTTCTCTTAACTTCCTAACCTTCTAGTATTCTATTCTCTTAGTTTCCTCCTATTCTCTATTCGGGCCCCGAATCCGTTTTCGGGGCCCGAATCGACAGTCAAGGAAACCTCATCATACCTCAAGTCTATTTCATTCTGCTTCCTACTGTTACCTTTTGCCTTGCTAACCTTTTAGTATCCTATCCTCTTAGTTTACCTTGTTAACCTGAAGAAAAAGTGTTGCATTTTGCGCTTAAGCTGTTGGGGGTATTCTTTGGGCTTATTCTTTTTAGCCTTTTCCTTTCTCCATTCTTAGGAGCAGGGGGTACATCCAAGGCCCGGGACTATAATGTGTATATTTCTAGGGCTTCATGTCGACCAGTCTTCAAGGTCTGTCTTGGGAAGAAGGCCCTGAAGCGCTTACAGGCGGCTTTAATGTTTCCAGGAACAGGGAGTTCTCCAGGAGTTATCCATTGCTTTGCCGGCCATTTGTTTTCAACGCTGGAATGGGTCAACTGACCTCTTGGCCACCCCTCCATTGAGGCTCCATTGGTTTCATTCCAAGCCTTCACATTTCAGCATGCAAAGATCTCATAAGCAGATCCGGGACATTGAGGACGCACAGCCTGATGAGCTTTGGCGCTTTGCTCGTGCTCGCTGGCGAGACCCCGAGAAGGCGCTCGCCACTTGGCATCACCCATCGCCTTTTTCAGGTCGTTTCCTGGCAGGGTGTCCATCGCTATTAGGTTGGAGGCCATCGCTACTAGGGTGGAGGCCATCGCTATTAGGTTGGAGGCCATCGCTACTAGGTTGGAGGCTATCGCTACTAGGGTGTTGGCCATCGCTACTAGGGTGGAGGCCATCGCTATTAGGAGGACATTGCTACTAGG